CCAAACTAAGATCAATTTCATCTCCAAATGGGTTGCTAAATCCCATTTCATTGTTTCTTTATCATGGCAAAGTAGCCATCATGAGACTTGATTTACACTTATTTCAATTTACATTCTTATTTCAATTTAAATATACTGATATATAATCTTACATGCAAAAATAAGAGGCATCAAAAGTAACAAGTAGACATATGTTTTAAGCAATCTTTCATTAATAAAACATGATCAGGTTAATCAGCCTCGAATATTTCCACAAGTCTCATGTCAAGACAAACAAAATAACAAACAAGAAGCATGCATATGTATCTGTTGACTTAATGTAGTCCAAGAGGGGGGGTGAACTGGAGTTGAAAATTTTTCACCTTTTTGCAACCACCAAACAAAAATCAAAGAGAGAGTAGGGAAGAAGAGCTTGCACAATGATTTTATAGAGGTTCGGTCCAACCACTTGGAACCTTGTCCTCTACCTTGGCTTCACTCACCAAAGATTTCCTTCACACTTTCCACTAATAAAATCAAGGGTGGCTTAAAAGAGCCACTCAATCTTTTTACAAAAAGAATGGTGTTTCTCTCAAATCTCACCATTTTACAAGATAAACGCCAAGAATCCTCTCTATAGATCACTCTTGAAGGATTAATATTAATCACACCCCTAAGATCACTCACAAATAGAACAAGAAGAGAATTACAAGTAACGATCTCTCAAAGATAAAAAAACTCAAGTTAAAGGTCATGTAGGTAGGTAAAGATATTCAATGCAATGCACTCTAAACTTGCTCTAGATCTTCTACCAACGATATTTATAACCCCCATGATTGAAAATAGCCATTATTAGCCGTTGGGGGTCATTTAATGCTCTGTAGGTCACTCAATTCGAGTTGTAGAATTGTCAGCACAGCCGGCTTAAATTTTCTACAGCCGGCTCTGCGGGTTTTATGCATTTTGTTTTCTCCGTAGAGCGAGCTTAAAAATTCTGCAGCCAACTTTGCGGGTTTCTTGCACATTCTGTTTTCTTGCACATTCTGTTTTCTTACACAACCGGCTGCAAAGTCTAAAGCCAGCTTTGGAAAGCCAGCTTTGGGATTCCAACTTTCAAAATATTAAATAATCTTCAAATCACTCGACCATTGTGCATTAAATGCGCTCTCACAGTTGGCTGTAAAGTCAAAGACGACTTTGCGTATGTTTTTCGCGCGCACCAAACAACAGAGTTGAAAGTTTTACCCGTAGAGCCAATTGTAGCTTCCAAAGCAGGCTCTTTGCACTTCCACAGTTGGCTGCAAGTTTCAATAGCCGGCTCTCTACACATTTTCAAGCCTTTTGATCCATTTTTAGTACAGTACAATTTTACTTACTTTGCAATCTTTTGACATCTTAACTACACACTTAAATGAACCAATTAGTCACTCAAATGTGTTGTGTAATAATCAAAATCATAGGTACAATAGTATCATATGTACAAAGCACAAATGATTTTAATTAAATTGTTATGTACATAAACATGCTTTCTTTCAATAATCCATATCTTTAACACTTAATCCACATAGTATAAATATCATTTACTACCCTAAAAGCATCAAGCCTTAAATAAACATGAATAAGACATCACTAATTAAAATCACCAGCATACGTGTATATGTCCTACGAAAATTTCACCACGGATTGAAATTGAATTAAACAATTTTAGCCATAATCCAAAAGTTGGTATTAATAGAATGAGGCATTCAAATATCCAAAAGTGAGTAAACAACTAGAAATCATTGAAAAATATTTCATAGGGTAGGAAATCTAAAATTTAATTCCCACTTCTTTAACACTTGCAAGTAAGATATATGCATGGGACTGGAGCAATCTTTTACCAAAATTATCCAACATATGACTCCAAAATGCTACTTTTGAGAGATCACTAGAGAATTAATAGTCACTTCTTAATTTTAAGCAAAAAAATGCAATTACCACACAATTAACCATGCATACTTGATCTTAGTCGGTTCATTTTCATGAAAATTGACTTCCTTTGCTTTATTGTGAAATGTCCAGTAGCCCTTCTGTCACCAACATTTTCACCATGAGAACTAGGCAGCATCATTTGTTCTCTATATTACTTTTGCGTCCAATGATTGATTGACCCACCATCGTCTCATCTATGATTGATCACATGATTCTGATGGTCGATGAATCATCATTTTTGCACATGATTTAAAGTGTTAGAAATCCATTTTGTTTTGCCATTGTTGCATGCCATATTTCCTTGGCTTCACATGCATTTTGTAACATAGGTTTCTTTTCTATTATCTAGGAAGCCATGATCTCATAGATTTGAAAATAGCCTAAAGATTGTTGGATCTTGGTGGTTAAAAAATAGATAATTGGTTTCAAGGCATGCTAAAAATACCACTTTCCTTTAGGATATTTTCACCCCACCATTTCGGTATGCGAAGGGGTTAATTAAACATGCCTACAGGATATAATGAAACCATGTTGATTACGTCTTGCACGGATGAAACCAACCATTGAATCTCACTTCTTCAAGAGGTAAAACTATCACTTTTAGGATATTTTCACCCCCACTATTTCGGTATGCAAAGGGGTTAATTAAAAATGCCTACAGAATATAATGAAACCATGTTGCTTACGTCTTGCACAGATGAAACCAACCACTAAATCTCACTTCTTCAAAAGGTAAAACTATCACTTTTATATAAGGATTTATGCAGCAATCATTACACCAAAAAAGATTGTTTTATATAAAAAAACAATAGGATATTATATGTATTATCCAAATTGGAATCCCTACATCAAGAGGATAAAGACAAGGCTTTTTATAGACCATAGGGGTTTGTTGATAAAAGACACCTCTTTTCATATATGTCTCTTCTATTTGAAGAGTTTTAATATGAAAAGAAACCTTTTCATTTATGTCCCTTTCCCAACCATTGTCGTCTTTCCTCTATTTTAAAAATTTCTCCAACACCATATGTCATCCAAAACTGTTTTGAATGAAGTTAAAGAATAATGATAAATGAGATTAGAATTAAAGACCAAAACCTTAGACCAATAGCGTGTTATAAGTCATTTTATTTAAAATATTAAAAAGTAAACCTTAAAATATTCAATAATTAGCTCTTTTTGTTTTTTTTTTTTTTTGAACTTGAGATATTATATGCATTAATTAATTTAATGAAATAACAAAAACCACATTATTGGTCACAAATTTTGTCTTAAAATTTTGTGCTCCCTATCATTACTCAAAATTAAATTCAAACTGTATCATAGAAATAACAAGCTTCATAATAATGAAACAAAGACTGAATGCTTAGTCAAGATTTTAGTGTTTCTTCACATGTTAGGCTCGAGATAAGGGTTCTCAAACTTGCTAGTCATGAACCCCTTTGATTTTTTAGGACGGCAAGCTTTTTCCCACTTGTAATCAAATTGGGGATAGACACTACCGTTATCTGCCAGGGAAACCTTGGTCCATTGTAGTGGAAAAGAATCTGCTTCAATATGGACCAAAAATTAGGAGAGAGCAACAAGTGAAGATGGGGCAGAGATAGCGTAAAAACAGTCCTATGTTGTCATGGATAATGGTGCCATTTGTTGCAAGACATGAAGGATCAAAGGAGACTTGAGGTTTTACCACAAAGAAACAAAGAAAGACACATAGACGGGAGTAGAAATTGAAGCTTCTTTGTAATTGTTATAGTGTTTGTTAAATGTCCATAACAGGAGCAATTCCTCCTTGTCACATCATTCATAGAAAAACAAAAGAGCAATCTCCACATTTGGAAAATCCAATTTGGTTTCTAAGACAATAATTAACCTTTCGTTTTTTCTCATTTTTTTTTCCCTTGGGCAAAGACCAGCTTTTGGTACGCAATGCAATTTATAAGTTTATATAAAGGAAACTAGAAATAAAAACAAGTACAATTTGGCATTGGAAAGATAAGAAATTACATACATATAAATATAGCTTCACCTCTCAGTATCATACCAGATATGTTGTTTGAAATGCTTATTCATTACTCAACAAGAACTAGATGTTGGCATATCTTATTTCGGGAACAACTATATCAAGACAGCAATAAGCTCCATTTTCATCAGCACTCCGCTGGTTCCTCCTCCTGTGTGCCTTGAGAGCCCTTCACCCATTATTTCTGCTTCTTTGGTTTAGCTGAGGAAAAATCCTACAAAGAATACAGTCAACACGTTGGTAATACCATATCCTCCATCTCTTCCAGAACAAAAGTGGTAAAATGACAATGGCTAAGCCAAAAACAAATCCCACTTCAGCACTAATGAGATTCCAGTCAATCTTGGCTCCATTATCTGAATTTTTGCCTTCAGATTGTGGCTGCATATTAGCCCCACAATCCATCAGAGGGGTCCCACACAATCCCTTGTTATCTTTGAAAGAATCTTCTGAAAATGTTTGAAGCTGATTTGCTTTTGGGATTCTTCCTTTCAGTTGATTGAGTGAGAGGTTAAGGACTTCAAGGAAATTCAAGCATCCCAGCTGTTGAGGAATCTCGCCACTCAAATTGTTAGTAGAAAGGTCCAAAGACTCGAGATACTGCAAGTTACCCAGAGACGAAGGGATTGGACCTGCAAGAAAATTATGTGACAAATTGAGGAAATAGAGCCCCCTGAATTCTCCTATCACTCCAGGTATCTTCCCTTCAAAGTTGTTGCATGAAAAATCAATAGAGGTGAAGATTGTTAGGATCTTCGCTAACTCAATCTTTATACCTTTGTTGGTGACTATCACCACATCCTTTTAAAATAATTGATGCACTGGAACATTAAATCCAAGGTAATCAACTTGGGCTCGATCTTTCCCAACCATCATTGCTGTCCATGTGTTAAACAATGTTCTGGCAGATTCCCACTAAACTTGTTGGAAGCTAAATCAACAATATGAAGCAGTGGCCAGGTTTCATTGCTCACTGGACATTCAATGGACCCATAGAATTTATTGGATCGCAAAACAAGAACCCGCAAACTGGATATGGTACTCAACCAACATGGGAAGCTATCATTAATCCCATTGTTCCCAACATCTAAAACTTCAAGCATTTTGCAATTGGCCAAGGACTTGGGAATCCTTCCTTCCAGGAAATTCTCACAGATTCAGAGTTTTTAGTCCACAATTGCTTGGAAATGCATCAGGAATAGTGCCACTCAATTTGTTTCTCCTTAGAGTCAGTACACCAATGGTGTTACTTTGAGTCATATTAATCAAGCACCAGGGCACAGTGCCATTCAAAGAATTACGAGACAAATCAAGGACTTGAATTTGAGGATCTTCTTTATTGCATATTGACTCTGGGATGACTCCATGAAGATAATTGCCCGACGCCAAGAAAAAAATAGTCCAACTCAGAAAAGTACCGATGTCAGTTGGAATAACAGAGTTGAACTGATTTTCTGAGTAATCTATGAACTGAGTTTGTTGGAGGATATTAGAGATATCCCTTGTAACTGGTTGGAATGGAGATCCAAGGTTTGTAGAAAACTAAGATTGCGAAAAGATCCTTCAATTTTTGTCAACAAGTTATGCGACAGATTGAGATTGGACCAAGAGAGCTTACATATCCAGTTAGGTATTTCTCCCTGAATTTGATTGTCTGAAAGGTCTAAATTGAACATCTCTGATTGGTTTCTCAAGATACTTGGAAATTTCCTCAGCTTTCAGGAGGCCAAATTTAACGTGCCTAACTGAGGGAACCTGGTTGAATCAATATTACCAAAACCATCATCCACCAACAAGTCATTGAAAGAAAGAACGAGTGCGGAAAGATTTCCAAGTTTCTGGATGATGCTTAGCTCTAAAGTGCCATTGAAGCTGTTGGAAGGAAGGATGAGTTGCTTAAGGCCCTGAAGCTTGAAAAAATAACTGGGAATTGAACCATTTAACTTGTTATTGCTCAAATCAAGAGCAACCAGCTGAGAAGAAGACACGATTGGGAAGTCACCAATTTGACCAGAGAATCGGTTGTTTGAGAGATCTATCCTCTGAAAAGATGGAAGGGAAAACAAAGATGAAGGGATAACTCCCTTCAGTGAATTGTCATACAACTGAAGATTCACAAGATTTGAAAGGTTTGCCCAGTGGGTGGAACTTATTGGACCTGACAAATTATTATGAGAAAGATCCAAATCAACCAAATTCTTCAACATACTGAAAGATGGAATTGCTCCAGAAAACCAATTATAGGATAAGTCCAAATGAATCAGATTTGCAAGGCTTCCGATCGAGTTTGGAATTGACGTTGAGAAATTGCAGGATGAAAGTTGCAATGTTGACAACATCTTAAGGTTCCCAACGGAGCTTGGGATCATCCCAGAAAAGTTTGTTGATTCCAGCACCAGGATCTGCAAAGACCCATTTTCAGGAAATTCAGGTAGAAACCCTTGAAGCAAGGGATTGCTTGATATGTCAAGACTTTGTAGAGTTAGAAGCTGAAAAACTTTTGCTGGAAACTTTCCATGTAGATCACACCCTTTGAGATGCAATGAAGCTAGGTTTAAGAAATTTCCCACAAATTCTGGAACTGGAGCAGATAATTGGTTGAAACTCAATTGGATTACAGAGAGAAGCTTCATCTTAGCTAGAGAAGAATCAATAGGACCGGAAAGAAGACAGTCAGCCAAGTTCAAAACTCTTAGCCTAGGTAGTGAAGACAAGGCACGACACCGTTCAGGTCCTTCCGCAGATATATTGGTTCCTTGGAGGTGAAATTCCCTAAGCCTCGTTAAATTGCGAACAAGCATTGACAAATTTGGATTCTCAAGTTTCAATTCAGCATGCGAATAAAAGTAGAATGAATGTGGGTCCCGTGACACAGAAATATCAAGAAAGACCAACCTCGTTAAGCCAGAAATCTCAGTTGGAATTTGTCCGTTGAATTCTGAATAGGAGAGCTTAAGGTGGCGCAAATTAGCAAGTTTGTCCAAACCAGATGGAATCCGAGTGCCATTGAACCTGTTTAAAGCCAAGTTAAGGCTCTGAAGATGATGAAGATCGAAGAGACTGCTTGAGCTGTCAATCCCACTGGAAATTGACTCATTGCTGAGGTCAAGACCAATAACATGCCCACTACCGCTGAATGTAACGCCAGGCCAAGAACAACAATTGGCTGATGAATCCCAGGAAACAAGCTTGGATGAAAGAGCAGGGTCGAAAATGAGTGTTTGCTTAAATTTCAGCAGTGATGATTGTTGATCCTCAAGACATAGACTCCGAACAGAGCCTGCGTTTAAGTGTAACCACAAAGAGAAAGCAATGAGGATCAGGTATGGCTGGAAAGAAATTTCCATTTTTTGCAGGATGAGATTGAGAGGCGCAGCGCAAATGATAAAAAATAGGAGTGAGAAGGAGAATATCTACGTTCCTTTCGAGAAATTGGAAGCTATTTTAATTTTGTTTTGTTTCTTTGCAGAAAGCTGTCCTTCGTTTTGAAAATCGATATAGACGAAAGTCTTCCTCCATCCATCAAGTTATTATTCATTACATGACATCAAACAGGTAACGCAGAATTGAATTCAAGGCTGTTTAATTGGAGTAAAAATCCGGGTGTATTGACAATGACCAGAAACCAAAACTGCAACCACTTCAAAGAAAATTGCTGTAAAGCGTAACATGAAAAAGCCAAGAGAAGAGTGAAATACTCATTGCATACTGTTGAAGTCTTGAATTTTAACTAGATACTTAGCTCAATGTAATGGTTTCTGTCTTACTTGGAATAGGTAGAAGCCATGTGGATGAAAGTCTACTTTTTTGGATGTGATCTTGAAAGAACGTAAGCAGTTTTACCTGAAGATGAAGAATCAAAGAAAAAATTGCTTGACTTGTGGACTTCCATGCCACCTGCCGCTACCGCAAGCTACACCGACCGAAGAAGTGCAATCTTCATGGAATCCAGCGACACGAACAGCAACGAATAGGTCCAAGTTCAGGTTTCCGCTGAAAGACCGGAAAGTTGGGCGGAGAGAAATCATTTTGGACATGGTTTGAGTAGCGCCAACCGAGAAGAAAAAGAAGAGCTGTCCTGAAAGTCCATTGGACATGGTTTATTCATAATCATTCATCTATGTTAGGCCACAAGCCCAAAAAATTTGATCCACTACCTTAACCTAGTCCAAGAAAGTTGAAGTAAAACGGGCCAGTAGAAGTCGAATCTGACCTCTATCGGCTCAGGCATAAGTAACAAACCCGCAATCTTTTTCTATCACAGTTTGGGACCCGTCTCTGTTTGGATTAGGGTTGCCGGTTGATGTAGATCAGGAGCAGGATCTTACAGTTGCCAGCTTTAATCTTGTCTTGATAATATTTGATACAACGTTTTTGGTGGCTACTATTACTTTTGTTATATTAGATTAAACCGGTGTTTTATGCATATGAATTCTTTGGAGATTGCCTTTTGTCTCTACTGCCCTTTGATCTTGTTCTTTCCAATAAATGGACAACAAGAGTCTACCGTGAGAATTAGTTACCCAAAAACGTATAATTTCCTTAATTATTTGCTTTGTTATGTCCAGAAAAATATATATATATATATATTTAGAATTAGTAATCATGTCAGATTGGATGGTTTGGGATTGTATAACTTTGAATTTTAGTTTTATTTGATCCGGTTATTTTAGATTTTGAGTTAAAACTTAAAAGAGACAAATCAATTACTTATCTACACATGTCTTAGATTGCATCAGTTGAATTTAATTTTAAAAAAATTAAAATTAAAATTAAAATTTTTTAATATTTTATCTATTTTTTTAATAACAAAATTTAATATTAATTAATTATTTAATAAAACAAATATATTAAATTGATATATACTCTAATAATTTAATAAATAATTATTATTTTATAATATTTAATTTAATTTTATATTTAAAAATTAAAATTAAAAGTATAATTAACTAAATTTTTAATTTTAAAAATCTAATTAATTTTAATCTGGTTACTTTGAGTTGACCCAAACTGATCTTGAGTCCTTAACTCAATTCAGTTGGATTTAAATAATTTTGATCAAGATCATATGAAATTTTAGATTAATAACTTAGACTCTTGACTCTACTCATAGTAAATGTATTGGGTTAGATCTTTGGATTGGCTTTAATTTTGTCATAACTAGGTTTTTTGGTCCATTATGAGTTTTTTGTTTTTTTGGCAGTCATTGTATCTTAAGTTTACTCTTTACATTACGAAAGTTTGAATTCAATTTGTACCTCAAATCAGAAATTTTAAGTTAGTAGATATTATGGAAAAAAAAAAAAAGAAGTACTCCCTCCTTTTATTTTCAATATATTTAATTTCACTTTTTTACTTTTTCAAATATAAATTTTTATAAAAATTTAATATATTATATAAATGATAATTAAAATTTTTTATCAAATAAAAGTACTCAACAATAAATTCATATAGAAAGAAATTTTTTTAAAATTATTATTTATATAAGTTGTTAAATTTTCATTTAAAAAGTCAAAAAATTAAATTAAATCTATTAGGAAATGAACAGAAAGAGTAGTAAATATTTGTTGTTCTCAATATGGATTGCATCTGATGGTTATTACTCCCTCTACAGATTTTTTTTATTTTATGTATGAATTAAAAATTTGAGGATGATTTTTATTTTTACCTATTTTACCTTAAAAATAGAAAAAAAATTTTTTTTTATAGTAGGATGAATAATTAAAGTTAAAAGATAACAATAAAGTTAAAGAAAAAATATTTGTCTTTTTAAAATATAAAAAAAGTGTATTATTCTTAGGTAAAATTTTAATTAGAAAACCTCTTATTTTGAGAGTAAGGGCGTCCATATGGTTTGGATGAGATTGATACTAGTTGCATTATGAAAAAAGATTTCTTGAGTTTACTTTACATTAGTATTACATTAGTCAATAATTCTTTGTAAAGTGTGGATTTTAAAAATTAACTGTTAAATTTAATATACTATCTATAAAAAATATGTAGGTCAAATTTTAAATTAATTATATTTATTTAATTATGTCATAATTGCATTTAATTTTAAATCATTAAATAAATAATAGAAAACAATTTTTTATTCATATGATTATAGATAACATATCACTTTAAAATTGGACAAATGATAATGTCACAGTTCCTAATTCGAGTATAATTATTAACTGGGGTATAGCTAATAAAAAATATAAACTGTAAAAAAAAATATTATGAAAAAAACTCGATCTTAGGAGTTGGTCTGGTTGGTAAGGAGGTTTCCATTTTGGGCCGAGGCCATCAGAAGGAGAAAGGATCTTGACAACAAATGTGACAAGATGTGGTGCAGGAGTTCCTATGGTCCTGTGTGATGAAATTCTACCAGGAGAAATTTAGAAAAGAAAAGCAGGAACTTGAAACTTGAGAGGGGAAGATAGTGGAGCTTTGTAAAGTTCCTTATGTCATCCACAACAGTAACTGTTTTGAACGAAATTAAATTCAACCTGTATCATAGAAATAACAACCTCCATGATAATGAAACAGAGACTGAATGCTCAGTAAAGATTTTAGTGTTACTTTCACCTGTCAGGCTCACGTTTGATTTCCTAGGACGGCAAGCTTTTTCCCTCCGCTAAACAAATTGCTGTCGGACACCGCTAGTGAAACCTTTGATCCAGTCTACTGGAAAAGAATATGCATCTTGTTGGACCAAAAATTAGGAGAGAAAACAAGGAGTGAAGATGAGGCATGAACCAGACAGCATGACTTGTTGCAAGACTTGAAGGATAAAAGGAGACTTGAGATTTTACCACATAGAAACAAAGAAAGACACAGACTGGAGAAGAAAATGTAGCTTCTCTGTAATTGTAATGGTGTTTGTTAGATGTCCATAACAGGAGCAATTCCTCCTGTCACATCAATCAGAGAAAAATAAAAGAGCAGTCTCCACATTTGGAAAATCCAATTTGGTTTATAAGACTATAATTAACACTTCCTTTTATTTTATTTTATTTTATTTTTATTTGGGCAAAGACCAGCTTTCTTTTGTTGCCCAATGCAATTTATAAGTTAATATAAAGGTAACTAGAAATAAGAACAGGTAAAATTTGGTATTGGAAAGACAAGAAATTACATGCATACAAATGTAGCTTCACCTCCCAGTATGATACCTGATAGGTTGTTTGAAAGGCTTACTAAACAAGAACATTGGATCTAGGCATCTCTTATTTCTGGAACAACTATATCAGGACGCAGTATGCTCCCTTTTCATCACCACTCTGCTAGTCCCTCCTCCTGTGTGTCTTGAGGAGCTCTACGCACATTGTTTCTGTTCTTTGGTTTAGCTGAGGAAAAATCCTGCAAAGAACACTGTCAACACGTTTGTAATACCATATCCTCCATCTCTAGCAAAACATAAGTGGTAAAATGACAATGGCTAAGCCAAAAACAAATCCCACTTCAGCACTAATGAGATTCCAATCAATCTTGGTTCCATCATTTGAATTTTTGCCTTCAGGCGGTGGCTGCATATTAGCTCCGCAATCCATCAGAGGAGCCCCGCACAATCCCTTGTTATCTTTGAAGGAATCTTCTGAAAATGTTTGAAGCTGATTTCCTTTTGGGATTCTTCCTTCCAGTTGATTGTGTGAGAGATTAAGGACTGCAAGGAAATTTAGGCCTCCCAGCTGTTGAGGAATATTGCCTCTCAAGTTGTTACTAGAAAGGTCCAAGGACTCGAGATTATGCAAGTTTCCTAGAGATGAAGGGATTGGACCGGTAAGAGAATTATGTGACAAATTAAGGACAATCAGTGCCTTGAATTCTCCTATCACTTCAGGTATCTTCCCTTCAAAGTTGTTGCATGAAAAATCAATGGAGATGAATATTGTTAGGATCTTCACCAACTCCATCTGTACACCTTTGTTGATGACTTTCACCACATCCTGATAATATAATTGACCCAAAGTAAGATCAAAATAGTGGTAATTAAATGTAGCTTGGGTCCCATCTTTCGGAACCAACATTCCTGCCCATGTTTCAAAGAATTTTTTTGGCAACTTTCCACCGAACTTGTTGGAAGCTAGATCAACAATCTGAAGTAGAGGCAAGGTTTCATTGCTCATTGGACATTCAATGGACCCATAGAATTTGTTGGATCTCAAAACAAGAACCTGGAGAGTGGATATGGTACTTAACCAACATGGGAAGCTATCATTTATCCCATTGTTTCCAATATCTAAAACTTCAAGCATTTTACAATTGGCCTGCGACTTAGGAATCTCTCCTTGTAGGGAATTCTCATTGAGATTCAGAGTTTGTAGTCCACAGTTACCTGAAAATGCATCAGGAATTGTGCCAGTCAAGCTGTTTCTCCTTAGATTCAATACACTAAAGGAGCCACTTTGAGTCATATTAATCAAACACCAGGGCACAGTGCCGCTCAAAGAATTACGAGACAAATCAAGGACTTCAAGAGAATCCATATTGCATATCGACTCCGAGATGATTCCATGAAGATAATTGCCCGAAGCTAAGAAAATAGAAGTCTGACGCAGAAAACTACCGATATCAACAGGAATAACGGAGTTGATCTGATTCTCTGAGTAATCTATGAAATAAGCTGCTTGGGGCATATTAGAGATATCCCCTCGTAACTGGTTGGAATGGAGATCCAAGTATTCCACAATATTGTTGTTGCTAAAAGATCCTTCGATTTTTGTCAACAAATTATGCGACAAATTGAGATAGTACAATCTGTGGTTACAAATCCAGTTGGGTATTTCACCCTGAATTTGATTGTCAGCAAAGTCTAATGTCAACCAATCTGATTGGTTTCTCAAGAAAATTGGAAATTTCCTTAGCTTGCAGGACATCAGCTGTAACACTTCTAATTGAGGGAATGTGGTCAAATCAATATTACCAAAAAAGCCATCATCCACCATCAACTCATTATAAGAGAGATCGAGCCAGGTAAGATTTCCAAGTTTCTGGATGATGCTTAGTTCTAAAGTGCCACTAAAGTTGTTGTAAGAAAGAATGAGCATCTGAAGACTTTGATGCTTGAAAAAAGAACTGGGCATTGGACCTTCTAACCTGTTACTGCTCAAATCAAGTATGGCCAGCTGAGAAGAAGACACAACCGGAAAGTCACCAATTTGACCAGAGAATTGATTGTTTGAGAGATATATTATCTGCAAAGATGGAAGGGAAAACAGAGGGGAGGGGATAATTCCCTCTAGTAAATTGTTGCGGAACTCAAGATTCACAAGATATGAAAGGTTTTCCCAATGGATGGAACTTATCTGACCTGACAAATTATTATCAGAGAGATTCAAATCAGTCAAATTCTTCAACATACTAAAAGATGATGGAATGGACCCAGAAAACAGATTCCAAGACAATTCCAAAACAACCAGATTTGTAAGGCTTCCTATCGAGTTTGGAAGTGACCCTTTGAAATTGCAGTCTGAAAGGTCCATTCTTGACAACCCCTTAAGGTTCCCAATGGAGCCCGGTATTTTCCCTGAAATGTTTGTGGACCTCAGCACCAGGGTCTGTAAATACCCATTTTCAAAAAATTCAGGTAGATACCCTTGAAGCAATGGATTGTCAGATATATCAAGACTCTGTAGAGTTGGCAGCTGAAAAACTTTTGTTGGAAAATTTTCACGTAGATCACACCTTTCAAGATCCAATAAAATCAAATTCGAGAAATTACCCAAAAATTCAGGAACTGGAGCAGAGATATTGTTGCGACCCAATCGGATTACAGAGAGAGACCTCAGCTCAGCTAGAGA